GCTCTTTCACTTCCTCTCATACCCCCGACATCTCAAATTGTGTGTCATAGTCATTAATCAAAATTGAAGTCATATTGCCTTTCCATGTCCCCATTACACCCTCGCCCTTGGTCAAGAACCAATGTTTTCGACATTGGAGGACAGTGAATGTTTTCCGGTCAATCATATTAAACATTTCAATGACGACCTTGATCAATTTGAAAGTATGAGGCATATAAAGCTATTGTCTCCATCATGAGATGTATCCTCTCCATCCATATTGACTCTGGTCTATCTTGTTTGTTGTAAGCAGTGATGATTATTAAATTACCAACAACAAAATGAGTGTATTTAACTAAAGAAAGCCCATCATTTTGGCTTGGTAATTTACTTCAACAAAAAACTTTCCCCCTACTTCTTGATATATTCCTTCCAGACATCCTACTTTATATAGATTTTCCCCTGCCGCTCACCAAAAAATAAACTTAAAGAAAAGATCGGTCTTGGTTGTTGAAAGCAGTGATAACTATTAATTTGCCAACAACAAAAGAAGTAAACTTAGAAAGGCTTAAGAGGGCGCTACTGAAGAAACATCATGTACAATTTTTGTACCCTTTTCTGATACGTTTGTGTGTGTGTGTGTAGAGAGAGAGAGAGAGAGAGAGAGAGACGCCTGGTGTCGCATTTTCTATACCTAGAAACGGTTATAACCTAAGCTGAAAAATGAGTCCCAGAATTTAATCAAAATTACAAACAACGATGACACGTTTACTCAAACATCTATTAGACATATAAAGGACCAAAATAAGGTACCTGATCATAGTCAATGTAGCCAGTGCTCTCATCCAGTCTGTAAGGCATCGTCTCAAAAAATATAGACACAGCAGATATCTTCTTTGTATCAGTCTGAGACAGAATCCCCAAAAGAATTTAGAAGGTTAAAATGGCAAATCGAGATGTATGATATTAAGTCCCAATTTGATGAAGATTAAAATCAGATTTTTAGCAAATTTTAATAAAAATTGATAAATTGTGTGATTGAAAGTTATAAGTACCATGAAATATGTGGTTAAAATTAATTGTTGACTTTGACTTTGACTTTGACTTTGACTTTGATAAAAATATAGATTTTAACTTCTATCAAACAAAGGCTAAATAGAAAAGCACAAGTAGTTTGCAAAGGTTAAGAAAGTCACAAGCACCTGATAACCATGTGACAGATGACCACCATGAGGCAGATCAAGAGCCATGATCCTTTCGTGAGGTTTTAGCAGAGCCGTATAAACTTGGAAATTGGAAGGGGATCCAGAGAGAGACTGTACATTCACTGTAAAACAATGTATTTACTACCTTTGATGAGATTGTACAAACCATTTCACTAAATTAAGAATAATAGCAAAATCTTTAATGACACCAAATTGCTTTTTCATCAGCTTTGTTTTGAAAATATCAGATATCACAAGTATTATTGAATTTTCAGTAACGAATTTCCATTCTTCAAAGCAACAAGAATCCCCAAATTTCTTCTTGGCGTGTCGCTTTTAGCCCATCTCTCTCTCTACAATTGAGTTCTTATTTCATTACAGAAAATTCCTTCAAGACAGGACCAAAGCAATTTGACTGTGGTTTTCTTCTGATTAATGCAACTTCTGAAGCCATAGAACGAAAACAGATCTACTTAAAACAAGAGCAAACAGATCCATTGAAAACAACGGAGTTTGTAGCCGAGCTTCCATAAGTTTCCATCTGACTTCCCTATTCTAACCAAGTTTCAGCTTTTAATCAAATATAAAATATTGGGCTAGATGAATATTAAAAATTGATATTCAGATCTAGAATTATTATCCCACTTAACAAGAATCAACTAGAACTGATAATCATAAGCATCAATACAAAAATTTCAATAACAAATCTCGATTACGATTTTATATGCAAGATAAGAAACCCACTGGTAAATTCATAATAAGAAAAAAATGATCATTATTTTGATCTTATCGATATAGAGAGCAAGGCACTTATTTTTGCGTCAGAGATGTAACACCACATCTCACTATTGTCTATTTTCTGTATCCATATGCCTACAGAATTCTCACAATTCACAATATGAGCTAAAAGAACAAGAAGCAGAAGCTTCAAAAATATTCCTTCTATAATAAAGATTGAAAAAGTAACTAAAAATTTATTTTCCACAGTTATAAATAAATATCCGAAAGAGTAACCATCAGCATCTTTGCTAGGCAATTCAAATATTCAATACTCCTAAGTTCACATTCATGTTCATTACTTCTATTACCAACAAAATGCGAAAGAAAATAATATAGAATGTTTAGTTCGATCATCATTCCCAAAAGATAAAGTATTCACACAATAAACACCTAAAAAAAATTGTAAATAGAAATAATTATGTAACCAAAACACCGATATGGTTGAAGTTATATTTGTATCACCTATAGAAGACAACGGTTTGACATTGGAAGAAAAGTTAAAAGAACTTAATTGCTAAGCCTTTATTTGGCTTTGCAAAGAAGTTTAAAAAGTTCATTTTCATATCTATTCAAAGTCAAACATTAATTTCAATTGCACATTCATAACCTATGATACACTAAGATGGACAAATGTGTCCTACATGCTATTTTTAAAAAAATTACTAACATGGCACGTTGATTAAATTCTTTAAAATTCTACATTTCTATATAGTATAAATTTAATTTTATACTTACTATTAATTTTTCTTGTAAATACGAGTACCTTTTTATTATTTAATAATAAATTTAATTTAAAAATATATAATATTTCTAAGAAAGAAAAATTAACATGGTAGATCACTTGAGGAGTGTCGAACATGAGGCATGCCACCCTGGTTAAAGTGTCTATGCGACACAATTTATAAATACTACTCATTTATTATCCATATATTCTATGAAGCCCACTACTATTCCTCCTAAAAAGTTACTAATAATTTTAGACAAACAGAGCACACGTTCCATAAATTTTTACATGTTTATCATGCAATAAAGAATTATTTCTTTGAACTAGATTATAGTTTGTGAAAAGAGAATGAAGTAGGACAAATAACAAGAAAACATTAAAAGTAGGATAAAACTCTAAAAAGTGGTGATCTTCAATTTTAAAACTTGAAGTTTTCTAAGAATATAAATTCAGATTTAATGCAACCAAAAAAAGGAAAACTGTGAAAAATATCTAAAATTTTTAGGTTTTGCTACAGTTACCCAGAGTGTTACACTCCGGGTTACTTGCCCCTCACATGGGTGGGGGGGTCCCATGCATTTATTGGGCGTGGGACCCGCCCCCCATGTGAGGGGCAGGTAACCCAGAGTGTAACACTCCGCGTACAAATAGCAAAATCCAAAATTTTTACCAGTTTAATCCATCCAAACTCTCATTTTTTCTTTTTTCTTTTTTTCTTTTTTTATTTTTTATTTTTTTATTGGACACTTTAAGCCCTTGTTTGGCCCCCATTTTGTGGTAATGAAAATGGGTTGAATAGTGTTTTTTAAAAATGAGTGGTTGAAAAAGAAAGAAAAGTTTTTTGTTTACGTGGTGTAATATAATTTTATGGAAAATTGTGTGGTTGAAAATAAGATAGAGAAAAAATAAAATGTAATGGAATGAAAATTAATGGAGCCAAACGGGGGCTAAGTTATAGGAATTATAAGGTCAGCAAACTGCAGATTAGTTCATAAGACTCAAAATCATCCAAGTTGAACCATTAACACTATTTTCGAGGTTACGTAGTTGATCATAATCTTTTTAACTCAATTTAGATTAAAAGCACGATCAGTGGAGCTAATATATGAACATCAATCCTAAATCAACTTGAGAAGCGTTAAAAGACGAATTAATCATCAAAATTATATAATAAATTCAGTACTGACAAGATAATCCTTAAGTCCATGGTATAAAATTGGATTAGTAACTTCCATCAGAGAAGTATTACACTAGTCATCTCTGATTTTATGATACTATTCCTGCCGAAAAGCAGCTAATAGATGGTTAGGAGCCTCCACATATACAGGTCAGGGCAAAAATTGGCAGAAACCAACGGAGGTTGATGAACATATTTTTGTCAATGTAAGGGGAGTTCTCAATCTGTTGTCTGTTTTAAAATACATTACATACTAAATAGTGTAAAATCAACCAGGAAAGCAGTTTACCTCCCCATTTTG